CCAGTCAGCCAGGATCACAGGCGCATACCCAGTGCGTTCAGATCAACCTGAGATCTGGGACTGTGGCCCTGGTTTGTACAACAATGCCCTACTTCCTATGCCACTGTGGCCAGACCCTCCCCCAGATTTTTTTTAATAAAAAAGAATTTGAAATAAAAACAGCCCTTGGAAATATGAAATTTTATCTGTGATTGAAAAATGTACAAACCTCAAACAATCTTCTGGAACTTTGATTTTGCTCTTCAGATCCAGAGCTGGGGAAATTGTGCTGCAGGACACACCTGGGGTGTTTGCTTTGGTGAGGCACCTTTAGGTCAGCATGATGTGCCCATGCCCCCACCATTCACAGAGAAGGAGAACAGACTCCAACTCTTTCCACAGCAAAAATTTGTACTTGCCCAGATCCACTCCAGATTGTAGGAAATATCTCCACAAGATCTGTTCCATTTCCCTTTGAGGAGCTGTGTGTGCCTTGTTGGGTTCATGATGCTTGTATATCAGCTCACTTGACTTTACGCTCGGAGCTCACTACATGGCTTTACTTCAGAAATACTTCCTCCTATACATTTTTGCTCTGAACCACGTTGGCATGTTTGGGTAACTTGAGAGGTAGTGTTGGGCTCAGTGTTGGCCAGTGGAAGGACGGAACCCACTTGTACTAGCTCATGAGAGCACCAACTTCGCATTCTGTGACATCGCTTGGGTAGCTTGGAGTCAGTCCGTGTGGGAGTACTATTTACATCATGGAAATTGTAAAACACTACAAATCATGTTTTATTTTGTTGTTTTATTTTACTGGAGAGCCATTTGTTAAATGTTTACTAATGCATCACAGACTATCACACACTTAACTTGAGAGTCCCTTCCCTGGGAGGCATAAAAAAAAAGAGAACCAACTTTGAAATGTCTGGTTAAGTGAATGTGAATATTTATAATTATTATTTTATCTTAGTTTATTTGACAAATTATTCCATCAAAACAACCAGGCTTGTTATGAAGAACCTTTTAACCTGACCAAGTTTACTCAGGCTGTGTGGTCACCACTGTCGCTAATATCAGCACCACGGACAGCAACAGCGAATCCACAAGGTGACCTCCTTTAAGAAGAACCAAAATACCAGCAATAAGGGATCTGGGCTTAACAGTGGATTGAAAATTATAGATATATAGCCCCAGCTAGGTGCTACTTTATAGGATGCCTAAAGTTAGACTTGTGTTCATGGAAATGTATATATCAGCTGTGTTTGCTATGAAAATATTTAGATTAATTAAGATCTTTAGTAATTCAATAAAATGTGGGGGGGAAGCAGAATAGAAAGTAAACACAGATACCAGAGACAGTGTGGGAAGAGAGTGGGAGATGGCAGAGGGTAAGAGATAGGGAATCAAGGATGGGGGAAAAAAAAAGCAAAACATACAGGAAACAAGAAATGGAAAATTATTTATTGACAATAGCATGTATGCTGATGTGCTTGATTGAGACAATATACAGTGTACTCTGGATGGAAAATCAAAAAAATAAAAAAATAGAAAATTATAGGACAGTGAGAAATCTAGATTGGAGAAACAAGTGAGTTATTATTCACTGATTTCCAGAACCTTCTTAGGTGTTGACCCAAGAGTCAATTGTCAAGGTAAAAGCAGAAATCACATGCTATGGATGTAAGCAAAAACAAGAGCATTAATTTTATCCAGCAATTCAGGAAGTCAGTGAGTAGGAAATAAAGTAAAAATTTAATGTCTCATGTACAGTAGAGTCAAAATATAAAGTAGGTGGTTGGTAAACAGCTGAATCACAGGAAGTAGAAAGGTAAGTATGAGAGATTAGAATGAATGGGAGGCAGTAGCAGCCAGGGTAGCTAAATTCTTAGCAGACAGCATGGTGTGACGTTTAAGCATTGGATAAGTCTACTAACTTGCTAAGTGACCTTGGTCAGATCACTGGATCTCTCTGAACTCTGGTTTTCTCATCTGTGAAATGAGGGTATCAAACAACATAATCACTGAAGTTCTCACTAGCTCTGTGACTTTGTGAAGCATTTTGCCCAAGACAGGAAATTTCTCTTTTTTTGGAGAGGTTTTTGCCAATGGGCAAATGTGCTCACCAGAAAGACAGAGACAGAGAGACAGAAAGTGAGCAATAACCCCCCTGGGAGATTACCACACCACAATCCATTCTCCTCCATTCTCCTCTCGGGATCTTGGGCATGCACGAACACACACCAGGCATGAGTTTAAGCCACCGGGTCTGGGACTCGAACCATGGTTGACTACCTGGGAGTCCAGCGATATAGCCATTATGCCAACTGCTGGTCCTGATAGAAAATTTCTTATAATGCCTTTAGAGGAATTAGAGTTGAAATCAGTAAGTGAAATCCTTTGACTGAAATAGAAATTAAAATGAGGCCTGTTAAAGTTTGACTTTCACATTTTCTTGAGATGATGATTAAAACAGACTTCAGGGGGAAAAAAAGGCCAACATACCAAAAAGACTCAGACTCCTAACCCTTGCTTGTCCCTGACTAACTATTCGTCACATGAATTAATATTGAGACACATTGTGATTTTACTGTATACATCTTAATGCCTTGTCTTCATCCAGAAAACAGCTCTTATTTTCAGCTACTTAGGAATCGAGCACCGCTTAAGTGCTTATTTTTAAAAAAATCTAAGATTTATCCTGGTATACCGGGGAAGAAAGGTCTTTCTTAAACACCCCCACCCCCACCACACACAAACACACACACATATACCCTAGTGAGAAGTTTAGGACTAGGTTCAAAGAAAAATATCCTCCCAGCTGAAGATTAATGAACCTTGAGTCAAGAAAACTGGTCCATTATTTATCAGAATTAATGAAAAAATGGGCTACATTTCAGAAAACTTCACCTGCGTATACATAACTGATGTTCATAAAAAACATTGAGGTAAAAAAAGGAACTATATAGAGTTCAACTCTTTCTTTTAAGAGTTGTCACATTGCCTATGAGTGATAGGTTGGAATAAAATACCACATCTTGTGAAGGTTGCAGTGGAGAGGTGGGTGACCTGTTCTGAGAAGATCATGCATTGATGTATGATCTAACTCCTGGTCTAAAACATGAGCAGACATTTAAGAAGGCACTGAGGACACCATTTATAGCACAGAGATCTGCAAAAAGGATTATTTCAGTCCTTGATAAATGAGAGTCCAACTGTGCCAAAGGAGAGGGGCATATGTTCGGAGAGTATAATCCTAGGTCCCTTGTTGGCTGGTTTACAGAAATCAATCTTATTCGAAACATACAGGTTTTTCCTCACTGTTTGTATAATTTAAAGTTGACTGCCTTGGGCATGCAGAAATTCAGGGTGTGACATGAAAATCAATGTCATTGTCCACAACCGGAACGACTATTCTCCATTCTCTTCTCTTTTAAAAACTGTATCAGCTCGTGATCATAAGATTGTGCTGCCCCCGGCTCTTAATATGAAACACCCAGTAAGAAATGTTCCTCTTTCAGATACATTTTTGTCCTACAAATCTGATCTCAATATCACCGTAAAAATTTAAATTTCTAGAGCTAGAAGGAACTTAGAGAGAGTATCTGTTCTAGTTGATGGGAGAACTGAGTTTACCCGAGGGAGGTGCAAGGACCAGCGCATGTAAAAATACCAGTCACTCTTGCCCCCAGTGATCACAGCATCAAATGCAACCACTTGTCCAACCCCTCCATAGGCCAAGGATTGCTCTTCACTGTGGCCATGCCAGACACCAAGGGTGAGGTGCCCCTAGAGCCGGCATGGCGCCCACTCCTCAAGGGTAGCAGGCTGGTGGGAGGAACTTGGAAGTAAACAAGTAACAAAAACACAGAGGGAGCCTTGTGTTGCTTCTGAGATTGTGCTGTCACCTGTTTCAGTATTTCTATATTGGTCCCAGATGCACTTAAACTTTTGATGGATTTATTATTACAAAAATGAAATTCAAGGGACCAGCAGGTAGCATAATGGCTATGTTGCTGGACTACCACGTAGTCGACTGCGGTTCGAGTCCCGGACCCGGTGGCTTAAACTCACGCTGGATGCGTGTGTGTGTGCATGCCCAAGATCCCGAGAGGAGAATGGAGGAGAATGGATTGTGGCGTGGCCATCCCCTCTGGGGGGTGATTTCTTGCTTTCTTTCTCTCTGTCTCTCTCTGTCTTTCTGGTGAGTGCACCTGCTGTATAGCAAAAACCTCTCAAAATAAATAAATAAAATTCAAGAGTATACTCTCTAAATAAAGTATTCTAGAATAATCAGATAGTCAAATTGGATAAACATTTCTCTTTCTTTTAAAAAACATTTTGCCAGAGGGGGTGTGTGCGCTTACCGGGGAGAGAGAGACACACACACAGAGAGAGTGAGAAATTCCCATGGGGAATGGTCATGCCAAGACACCGTCTCCTCCTTTCCTTCTTCCCTTTGGGACCTTAGGCATGCATGCACACATGCCTGGTGTGTTTCTCAAGCCATGGGGTCTGGCACTTAAACTGCACAGTCAGCCATGTGGGATCCTGCTGCCTTAACCACCAAGCCACAGGCTAGCCCTTTTCCTTTTTCGTGAAGTTTACTAATTTATTTCCTATGTGTGTATGTGTATGTGTGTGAGAGAGAGATAATCCCCAGACCGGAATTCACCGCCACTCTCAGTCAACCCAGATCAGATGGTGAGCACACCCATGCCTGGTGTACAGGGAGGTCTCCGTACATGAACTGTTAACCTTCCCATGTGAGTCTGCTTTGCAGAGCATTGCATTTTACTGCTGTGCTACTGCTCAGCCCTTGAACACAAATATTTTAAGAGCTTTATTTATAGGATTTCAGAATTTTTGGTTCACTCTCAGCTTATGAAACTACAGAACTAACAGCTGCTAAGGAAATACGGTCAAGACCATGCTCAAAAGTTGACAATGCTTGGTCCGACCACCAATGCTAAATTACGAATAATTTAGCCTTTCTTCATCACTTATTGGTGAGTTGAGGATTGTTATTTTGGTTTATCTTCTCTCTCACATTTACTGTACTCCATTGGTCACTCTGCTTCCGTCCTGTCTCTTCCACCAGTTTATAGAGTACATATTCTAATTTTTCTGAGTTATCCTACGCCACTGAGCAGAGTACTTCACACCAGGAAATGCCTGATTAGTGTAGGCATGGCGCTCCTCTCATTCCCAAAGCCTGTCCAGCTGAGCATGCAGGGTTATTAAAGTCTGTGCTGAGAACTGTCCCTCTCACTCTTGCTTTCTCTGGTACCTCAGATTCTCTGATCAGACAAGAATTGCCTTCATGTTCAATTCTCCCATTGAATCTTTGGGCTTAGATAACTCACTAACCCAGCACTGAAGTGTGGATGCTGGTAAGACATTTGAAGAACTGATTAAAACTTTGTAGGAAGTCCGTCATGGCTTGCTGTGATTACAAAAGAGAGATGACAGTAAGCAACGTGTGACAGGAAGTAATGAATTGTCCATGACCAGGAAATGGAGCTTTTGCAAGGGCTCTACTGAGGTGCTGCAGGAGGAGGTCTAGAGTGGGAGGAGAAATTAACAAGCCCTTATTGTTGCCAAAGAATAAGCCACTTTGTAAAGTGACACCCATGTTATGGTGTCAATTGTACAGGGTTTTTCAGTGACTCCTGTGATGAAGAAAGAGTTATGATTCAAAGGCTGTCATCGTGAGAGGATCCAGTGCTATATCAATAGCTCAGCAGTCATCAGCTTTAATAGGATGCAGACAACCTTGTCAGGGAGCGAGGAGTTGGGTTGTGAGTCAAGCTGTCATATTCCAAGACAATTGAATTGATTTGTGTTTGCGATCTCATTTTGTCTCTGATGTGTGTGGAAAATCAGAAGAGATGCTTACTCACTTCTCCCATCTGCAAGGGACTACCACATTCCACAGTTTTCTGGTTACTCTGGGGATTTGCTGTGCACTTTGGCTGGGAGCTTAATATTGACCTGTCTGACCAGACAGCCGTCTGAGATGTTCTAGCTTTGTAAGGTGGTTTATATACCAGCTTTAGTGACTCCAGGAATCCATGGTGTGCTGCTGAATAGCTAAGAATCAGCTCCCTGGGGAAAAACAAAAGTCCATATTTGTAGCATTTGCTGATTTCCATGATGTAAATACCCCCATCAATGCTGATTTCAAGCTATCATCATG